TGCCCATGCAGCCTGCTTGTTCAGGTGTTTGGTCGTCCCTCACTAAGCCCCCTGCTGACCTGGTTGTAGGCAGCCATCTTGTGAGGGCATGAGGGTTAATTTGCACATTACCTCTTTATTATATAGGAGGATAGTTGTTTTAATTGATGAGTTTCTTGACCAATTTAACTTATAGGACCTTGAATTTCCCTAGTTTGATTTAATGACATTATAATTTCTAGAGATTGTAAATAATCTGAAATTCACTTTAGGGAAAAAAGAGAAGATAGTCTTTATATACAGTGCCCTGGGCCTCGAGCTTGTATCTCAAACAAGTCACTGTGATTGCCTAGTTAACGCATTAGTTTTCTAATTTGTGAAATGAGGGACTTATGAGATCTGTTTTAATTGAGGAAAAACATCAAGAAATAGGCTGTACTTTCAAGTGGATAGGTGCCAGTGGGTAGGGAAGCACATGGAGTGTCTTCTCTCCATGTAAAATAAATGCAGCAGCTTTTGGGGGGGGGGGAGTGTTCAATAATTTAACTGGTAAATACTATAATCCATTTTTTATAACAAGACACAGATATGTTATCTACTTGAATACAACATTTGCATTAATTTTTAAGATCAAATAGGAGACTTCAAAGACGTTTTGAGCTGTCTGCAAGCTATGCCCCTAGATCTCAGGGACGGGTACCCAGGATGCTGTGAAAGGTTTGAGAACCACTGTCCCAGCCTGAAGGATTGTGCTATGAGACTGACTCCATAACTTCTTGTGTGTGTCTCAATTTTGAAATCAAAACAACACCCCCCCCCCAATTTATTACACACTCAATATATAAGAAATGTTAGAAAGTACATTGAGGTCTGTCCTTTCAATCCTCCAGCCCCCATTTAAAAGCAACCATCACTAAAAAGCTTTGTAACCTTGTAATCCTGTGAATCAGATATATTACTGGCTGACACCTGTTGTCTTTACTTCCGACCTCTTTTCTTTGTGTGTTCACCTTTTCTCTTAAGAGAGAAATACAAAAATAAGATTATACATAATTTATACTTATAACATGCATTTTCAGTTTATATGTTCTTAATTAAGCACACAGTTATTGAATGCCTTCTGCATGCTGGTCATGTTGTGGGTGCTGAAGAATCAGCAGTGAATAAAACTCACACAGAACACCTTGCCAACATGGAGCTCACCTTCCAGGGATAGTAAACAAGGAGATAAATAAAATGTACAGTATAGTGTTGGATGGTGATATGCGCCAAGGAGAAGAGTAGGGAAGGGGCATAAAGTGTGTGTGTGTGTGTGTGTGAGTGTATGTGTATATGTAAGTACATGTAAGTGTGTGTGTATGTGTGTGAGTGGGTAGTTGTGAGGATTGTGTGTGTGTGTGTGTGTGTGTGTGTGGTGTGTAGGGCATCGATTGGAGTTTTAGAGTTAGAGCTTGGATGAAGTTCTCATTGAGATGCCTGAAGGAGGTGAGGGAGCGAGAGGACACTTGGAAGGACATCATGAACTTGCTTCTGTCTCACAGGCTTTCACCTGTGTTGGAAACGTGCCCTTTCACTGACTGAACATTGTTCCCTGTACGGAGGCCACGAAGTTTAACCAACTCCTGTATTTTTCCCCAGCAGACAACTTTGAGATGGACATTCCTGAGTGAAGTCATAGGTCACATTATTTCACCTTAGGCTATATTTCTAGAAATGAAATTTCTGTCTTAAAAAATGTGTGTGCCTTTAATGGTCTTAACAGACACTTCCATATTTGGCTTTCCTCACTGTGTGCACCAGTTTTTTCTCCAGGCCCTGAGTGAGAAAGCCTACTTAACTGCCATAGCCAGTCCTCATCATTTATTTGGTCTTCACTAATTTGCTAGGTTGAAATGGATCAATACATCATGTTAATTTACTTTTCTCCAGTTACCTTGGAAAGGCCTAGGGCAGTGGTTCTCAACCTTCTGGCCCTTTAAATACAGTTCCTCATGTTGTGACCCAACCATAAAATTATTTTCATTGCTACTTCATAACTGTAATGTTGCTACTGTTATGAATCATAATGTAAATAGCTGATATGCAGGATGGTCTTAGGCGACCCCTGTCAAAGGGTCGTTCGACCGCCAAAGGGATC